TTACTTTCATCTTCATTTTCGTTTCATTGCTCTCTTGAAATTTCACTGGGAATACCATCATTCTGAGTTATATAAAATTTCTTTTTATGATTAATTTTAAACATTTATTAGTTTAATTTTCTTTTACAGGTTTATGCACTAATGTCATTCTTGTCCCTTGTAATACCTGGGAGTTCAATTTATTTTAATTCTATCCGGGAAGTGTAAGTTCATCTTTCTTTCTTTCTCTATTTTCTTGATTCTTGCTGATGTTTAGTCTGAATTCCTTTTTTTTTTATGTTTTGGTTGTGATTAATGGTTACCTGTGGTACATGAATTGCATATTGTTATTCTACACTGACTGTGACATAGGAGGCCTTAGAAGTAGTTATTTATTGTCTTTCTATTCAGAACTATCTGCTATGGTACCCTACTCTAAATAGGCTCAAATTCCTAGGAGTAAAACATTTGGGTAATTCTTCAACAAGATTGATTTTTCCTCAGAGCATATATGAAAACATGTGAATGTTTTGCTTAAATTTTTACCTTTAGACAATAACTTCCAGCACGATGACTAAAATGGGTGTGTTATTTGTAATTGCAAAGTACCTACTAAGCTCAAAGGCAAGCTTTATCATATTGCTCTCCAGCTATATTCTGTTAATGACAATGAATGTTGGATTTCAAAGGGATATTAAGAATAAGGGTGAGAGTAGTAGAAGTGAGAATTTTAAAATGAACTTGTGATCAAACAAGAAAACACGTGATATAAAGTAATTACATGCTAGTAGATACTAATGTTGCACTGGTTAAGGTAGTGTAAACATATAAAGAAGACAATTGGATCCAACGATGATGAGAATTGATTGGTCTTGCGGAAGGAGAAAGAGAGATAGACTCTTAAGGATATTGGGAGAAGTTGTTAAGACCTATGTTATGGTAAATAATATCTTTGAAATTTAGTCTTTAACCGAATCAAATAACCTTGTGTGATTCATATAGTGGACCTGGTGGGATAATACAGCCTTTTATTATTACAGTACCGAGTAGCTTCCAATGTTTAAGAAAAGTTACATCATTCCATTGTTGATGTAAGTAAGGTGGTATAGCTGCTGCAGAGTGCTTTCATATGCAAGCACAATAGTAAGAAGGCAATTCCTTCTCCTTGCTCGCATCTCCATGCACTCTGCTTTGTACTATTTAGCGTACTTGCCTACTACATTTTAGTTTGGAAATTTAAGTGCACTTTGCAATTTTTTTGTTGTCCTAAAATTATACTTAATTTTGCCAACCTATGTTTATTAGACTGGTGCAATTTCATGATTGATTTCTCTTGTCTACCGTTTCAGCTATGAAGCTTGGGTCATTTATAATTTTCTGTCATTGTGCCTGGCATGGGTTGGTGGTCCTGGAGCTGTTGTAATAAGTTTGAGTGGTCGAGTTCTGAAGCCATCATTCTGCTTGATGACTTGTTGCTTTCCTCCTATACCGCTGGATGGGTGGGTTTATATCTGATTCATATTTTTGGACTAAAAGCTTTTGTACAAGAATATTGTTAGTTATATATTCCTTGAAAACTATACCTTGAATTTTCTATGGAGTTTTTTTATTACCTATTTTGTAACTTGTAAGTTCTAGAATGATCATTTGCCACACGATATGCAGAATTATTTTTGGGGATTATTTATTGAAAAATAACTTAGACATCCCAGAGAGGCATTGGATTGGATTTTAGTAGAAGCTTATAATATGGTAGCATGATAATATACATTCATTTCTCACTTCTAAAACTTATATTTCAGGCGTTTCATTCGAAAATGCAAGCAAGGATGTCTGCAGTTTGTGATATTGAAGCCCATTTTAGTTGTTGTTACACTCGTACTTTATGCAAATGGGAAGTATAAAGATGGAAATTTCAGCCCAAAGCAGTCATACTTGTATCTTACGATCATTTATATGATCTCATATACAATGGCTCTCTATGTGCTTGCTTTGTTTTATGTGGCATGCAAGGATCTACTTCAACCATTTAATCCAGTTCCAAAGTTTATTATAATAAAATCTGTTGTATTCCTGACTTATTGGCAGGTGATTTTACATCTCATTCATATTTATGGTTCATTGTTTTCTCTTAATTTTGACTGTATCTTGTTGCTGGTTATATTTTAGTATAGGAAGAACAGAAAAAAGAGTGTCGTTTTTTGGGTACATTGTGAAGAGTAGAAATTGTATTTCTGTTTTCTTGTGACCTTCAGAAAGGATGAGTGTAAAGTAAAATGAGGATGTCCTGTTTGATCTTGGGATGAGCTGTAACTTGTTTGGAGATAAATCCTCCATCACTTTAAAAGAAGGAAAATAAGTATTTTGCGTCTTAAATCTTGGGATATAAAGTCATATATCTTTATTGAACAGACATTGGATATACCCTGGATTTATAACACCTTTGCTTATATATATATATATATATACAGCTTGCTGTCCTGTGGGAATTATTTAGAATTTAAAGATGACTAAGTGTTAGTTTGGTGTTGTTTCGTTCTAGGGATATTTTCTTTTTACTGTTGAGGGTTGCAGCAAGGTGACATTTATTTATTTTCATTTCTTAGGGTGTGTTATTCTTCCTTGCTGCAAAGTCTGGATTCATTGAGGATGCCGATGAAGCTGCCCTGCTCCAAAATTTTATCATTTGTGTTGAGATGCTTGTTGCTGCTGTAGGGCACTTTTATGCATTCCCATACAAAGAATATGCCGGTGCTAATATAGGTGGATCCCATGGTTTGACTGCTAGCCTTGGGCATGCTTTGAAGTTAAATGATTTTTACCATGATACAGTGCACCAGGTGAGTCTTGCTTTGTATGCTCTGTCTGTAACACTGTTAACATGGCATTTGCTTCAGGCTTATGCCTGGCTTTGCAACCGTTATGCCACAATGCATTTCTAGTTCCCCATATTATTATTGAAATTTATGAATCTCCTTTGCTTTCATATTTTCTCTGCGGATAATTTGATACTAATCAAACTTGTGGCAGTTTGCACCAACGTATCACGAATATGTTCTCTATAATCACAGCGAAGGTGAGGAGGGAACTAAGAAGTACAGGTCGCGAACTTTTGTTCCAATTGGGCCTGAGATGGATTCAGTGAGAAGAAATAGGAATATGTTTGGAAACAAGTTGGATGACATACAGCTCTCAAGTTTGTCTTCTTCTACCAGTAGCAGTCCCTCAAATTCGTTGCCTGATGATTCAAATTCTGTTGCAACGAAATCTTCCTTGCTTGTGGATTTGTCCAATTCTACTCCGGAACCATATGACTTAACCGTTATTGACTTGGATGTATCCAGTTACCCTGAAGAAGTTCCTGCTGTTGATCAAGCTGGTGGTAGGTGATCATGGCGAGTATTCAGAGGTAGGTTTGAGGGGGAACATGTTATCGCTGGAGGAGATTAGAGGGGCATCCGACATATTTTCTGTGCTTGGAAAGAACTGATTGTGGTTTCTTAAATTCTGGGAAAGGAATTAAGCAGATCATGTGCGAACATACATTTCTGTAAACTAGTCGGCCTCGCTCTTAAGCAAAGCAGTCCTTGATGTTGATCTCGGTCTTAATACTGTAATTGTCTCCAATGGTTGTGTCCTGTGTGTAAATTGTAGATACGGAACTTCTTGACGTGCCTAAGAGTTTAAACATGAAAAATACTAAAATATTGATTTAGAATTAATTGATTCTTTTCTCCCATACACCATAAGATATTGGTTCTTGTTTTTTATGCTTAATAGTAATGTTGTTGTCATTATTTACGTTTATGGAATCCTTTTATATTTATTTTGAGTTTGATACTAGATATTACTGATGATGAAGGTTTTCTCAGAATCTCAGTTACCTTTCTACCATTTCTGGGTTGAAAATGCAGAGCATTTTATTCATGTGAAGCTTCGTCTTAACCATCCTTGGTCACGTTATGTTTTTAATAATTTGGTCGGCTAACTCGTCATATTTTTTACTTCATGTTTTAATAACTTTTTGCTCCTGGAAAATTGCTTTGAATGTTAAACTATTCTACTATGTGACATACCTCTAATTTGTCAATTCTGTATTTATTTTTTATTTATTTTTAAAGCTTATATGTTTGACAAAGTTACGGTAATGTCAAGATTAAGGATACGAGAATGCATTGAACAAATTTACAATTGAAAGTTGTCGACAGAAATCATTCTGTGATTGAGTGGAATGATTCTATTTGAATGGACTTGGATTAAGGATACGAGAATGCTGTCGACAGAAATCTGTGATTTTGTGTAATGATTATTCGATTGACTTGGACTTAAAAATATGGGAACCGTTGCCTCTTTAACAATTGAGAATTAAATAGAGGCTATTACTTCCTGCACCATGTTGCAACATCTTATCATTTCGGCCAACCTGTTTTATGAAAAGTGAAAATATTCAAACTAAATTATGCACGAGTAATTAATTAAAAATTCACATTAAGAATAAAAGTTTGATAAAAAATAACTCACTCCGTCATTGCAGAATTATTTAACTATTTGTCCTTAATTTTCAAAATGATTAATATTATTAATTAATTAGATTTAAAGGAATAATAGAGAGAAAAATTTATTTTATTCCTCATATATATGAAAATTTAGAACTTATATATACTTATTTGTTAGAAGAAATCAATAAGTTTTATATTGTAAGAAAGTTGTAATTATAATTTACTAATTTATTTTATTTATAAAATAAATAGATACAAGTTAACAAATATTTCTATATATTAAAAAGAAATAATATATATAGTTTATCTCTTATTCTCATCTACCATTCTTTTTTAATCTAATCGTTAAAGAGTATGCTATTTTTCAAAAGAAAAATTATATATGGACAGCTTTCAATTTTTCTATTTCTATTCAATACCTATCAAAAACTATTTTTCATTTAAAATAAAAATATAATTTTAATTCTATTAGTGTTGAATAGGGACAGACTGAAAAGTTTTAGTGTCCATGTACGACGATTCTTTTCAAAACCATGTGTAAAACATTTTAGGTGTTTTGGTGAGTGCCAAACTTCTCCCTTCTATAAACCAGAACCTCATAGGTTTTCTTTATTACCAGATATAACAATGGAAGAATCATGGAGTACAAGTACAAGTGCATCTGCCTGCATAGTTCTCATAGTGCTTCTTACTCTAACATGCGCATGGAGGGTACTGAATTGGTTATGGCTAAGGCCAAAGAGACTAGAGAGACTCATGAGAGATCAAGGCCTTCAAGGAAACCCCTACAGGCTTTTCAATGGAGATTTGAAGCAGATGATGAAGATGCAAAAGGAAGTCACATCCAAAACCATGAAACTCTCTCATGATATAGCGCCACGTGTCTTTTCTTATCATCTGCAGAGTGTCATCAAACATGGTAAATCTATTTTTTTTACATCACTTATGACATTATTAATGTTAATGTGACCCAAGTAAATCACATGTTAACAACTTGTTTGAATAAAAAAAGTATTATTTGATGATGATATGTATGGATACTACTTAGGGAAGAATCCTTTTATTTGGTTTGGACGAAAACCAAGGGTAATCATCACAGAGCCTGAGTTAATCAAAGATGTACTTAACAAGATCTATGCTTTTCCAAAGCCTGACACGAATCCGCTAGTCAAGTTAGTAGCTACTGGTCTTCTAAATTATGAGGGAGAAAAATGGCACAAGCACAGAAGAATAGTTAGTCCTGCATTCAATATGGAAAAGTTGAAGGTTAGATATGAATTTATTTTTTCATGTATTAACCCTTTTTATACTGTGTCAACTACTCAAAATTTTGGTAGATACACGAGTTTCAATATAGTTATTTGAAAACTAAGCAAGCTTATTATTTATAACAACCAGTGCTTGGAAGTTAATGTATGCAGATGAATTATTTGCTTTTTGGTGTGTTTGCACTGGAACAATAAAATTACCAGAGTTTTTAACCTGCAACACATCCTTACGCAAGTAAAAGAACTTGGTTTGAGTTATAACTTATTTTAAGGAGCCAAAGCCTTGATGCCAAAGGCTTGATGTGAAGTCAGAATTTAAAGTAACATGACATGAAGTTTGAATGCTTAAGTGCCCAGTCTGATAGGTGAATTTGAAATCCTTGCCATTTCATTATTACATCACAGAATATGTTACCAATATTCTTCAACAGTTGCAATGATCTAATTATCAAGTGGGAGGAGATGTCTTCAGACGGATCATGTGAAATAGATCTATGGCCTTTCCTTCAAAATTTAACCAGTGATATTATTGCTCGAGCTGCATTTGGAAGTAGTTATGAAGAAGGAAGAAGAATATTTGAACTTCTAAAAGAGCAAGCACAACTTGCAGCGCAAAGTATGATGAAAGATTACATCCCTGGATGGAGGTAAGACTAACTTGCATACTTGAGTGTTGAATAAACTAAAGCTATGAACACTTAAATAATTTTCAAATGAATTAACCTACCATATATTTATGCAGGAAACTTTGACTAACATATATTTATCATTTGAAATAAAAGTATTAGCAAGCAACATTTCTCATTGAGGATCTATTCGCTATATTCAATGTCTATTCATTCATCAATGTTGTGCTAGGAAGATTAAATGTAACGTCTCATTTGCATTATGCAGTAGAATTTTTTTCTCTGAAGACAACCAAACTGTGCTTTATGTTAACCAAACAAATAATAGAAGGCTAACTGATATTGAAAAGAGAGAGGCTCATTCTGCTTATTTGCAGATTTATACCAACTGCTATGCATAGGAGGATGAAGGAAATTAACAGAGAAATAAAAGCTTCACTTAAAGATTTGATTAACAACAAAGAGAAAGCACTAGAGGTGGGTGAAACTACTGAGAATGACTTGTTATGTTTACTTTTGGAGTCAAATCACAAGGAAATTGAAGAACATGGAAACAGTAAGACTATTGGAATGAGTATTGAAGAGGTAATCGAGGAATGCAAGCTATTCTACTTTGCAGGGCAAGAAACCACTTCAACTTTACTTGTTTGGACCATGGTGATCTTAAGTATGCACCCTGATTGGCAAGCACGTGCAAGGGAGGAAGTTTTACAAGTATTTGGAAAACAAAAACCCGATTTTCTTGTGCTAAGTCACCTTAAGATTGTAAGTGCTGTATCAGACTTTGACTCTTCTAAAGTGAAACTTACCAAATGGTTTGTGTTATTATTATCTTGATGTCAATGATTATGTCTTTGATACATTAGCATAATACTTTTTTGTTAACAGGTCACAATGATTTTGAATGAAGTTCTTAGGCTGTACTCACCAGTAATTGGCCTTAATAGAAATGTTGACGAAGACGTGAAACTTGGAAACCTATCATTACCTGCAGGAGTGCAAGTTTCCTTACCAACAATTATGGTTCACCATAATCCTGAACTTTGGGGTGATGATGCCGATAATTTCAATCCGGAAAGATTTTCTGAAGGAGTTCTAAAGGCCACTGATGGCAGAGTTTCATTTTTTCCATTTGGATGGGGTCCTAGAGTGTGCATTGGACAAAACTTTTCCATGTTGGAGGCAAAGATGGCTTTGTCAATGATTTTACAACATTTCACATTTGAACTTTCTCCAGCTTATGCTCATGCTCCTGTTTCAGTGCTTACTCTTCAACCCCGATATGGTGCTCATGTCATTTTACGTAAACTGCAAGTATAATAATGGTAATAAGCCTTGTTTGATTTGCATTTCACTATTGCAAAGTTTGAAATGCAAATTAATGGCAGTTTGCTGCTTTTATTTTCTTAAAATATGTTACTGCTGACATGCTTTTATTGCACCATTGAAGAACATATGTATTCAAAATAAGTCAAGTGTTAGAGTCTTGCTCCAGCTTGCAATTGTTTATCATGACAACAGATGTTGCTAATGCTTTTGTATTCTTCTAATATATATATATTGCGACAATGAATGTATGTGGGTTTTTGTAAGACTCAATCCACACAATTCGATAGGGCGAGAGAAATGTCAATTATTTCTTCATGTCATTTTGGGAAGATTATGGATAGATTGATTTAGAAAGTTTCCAATACAATTTGAAATATTCTTCAGTGTTATCCAATATTTTGGACGGTGCATTTTGGATATTAAAAATCTGTGTGCTGTGTTTCAAATTAAATAATCTGAAATTATTTTTTCATTGTTATTTACCATTTGTACAATTTGTAATTTTTTCACAATAATCCTCCATTAGTTTGGATTAAATTTATCATTATATATGATGTAATTTCTAAAAGAATTACCAGACAAACAAATTAGATAAGAATTACAAGATTGGGTAAGTTATTTTTCAGAAATACAATTTCAACTTTTTATTTTTTATCTCATAACAAAACGTATTTAACTGAGCAATAATTTTTTTTTTGAAGAATAATAAAAAACGTATTTCGTTTCATATAATTCTTTTCATTCTTATTTTACCGAANATTTTTTCATGTATTAACCCTTTTTATACTGTGTCAACTACTCAAAATTTTGGTAGATACACGAGTTTCGATATAGTTATTTGAAAACTAAGCAAGCTTATTATTTATAACAACCAGTGCTTGGAAGTTAATGTATGCAGATGAATTATTTGCTTTTTGGTGTGTTTGCACTGGAACAATAAAATTACCAGAGTTTTTAACCTGCAACACATCCTTACGCAAGTAAAAGAACTTGGTTTGAGTTATAACTTATTTTAAGGAGCCAAAGCCTTGATGCCAAAGGCTTGATGTGAAGTCAGAATTTAAAGTAACATGACATGAAGTTTGAATGCTTAAGTGCCCAGTCTGATAGGTGAATTTGAAATCCTTGCCATTTCATTCTTACATCACAGAATATGTTACCAATATTCTTCAACAGTTGCAATGATCTAATTATCAAGTGGGAGGAGATGTCTTCAGACGGATCATGTGAAATAGATCTATGGCCTTTCCTTCAAAATTTAACCAGTGATATTATTGCTCGAGCTGCATTTGGAAGTAGTTATGAAGAAGGAAGAAGAATATTTGAACTTCTAAAAGAGCAAGCACAACTTGCAGCGCAAAGTATGATGAAAGATTACATCCCTGGATGGAGGTAAGACTAACTTGCATACTTGAGTGTTGAATAAACTAAAGCTATGAACACTTAAATAATTTTCAAATGAATTAACCTACCATATATTTATGCAGGAAACTTTGACTAACATATATTTATCATTTGAAATAAAAGTATTAGCAAGCAACATTTCTCATTGAGGATCTATTCGCTATATTCAATGTCTATTCATTCATCAATGTTGTGCTAGGAAGATTAAATGTAACGTCTCATTTGCATTATGCAGTAGAATTTTTTTCTCTGAAGACAACCAAACTGTGCTTTATGTTAACCAAACAAATAATAGAAGGCTAACTGATATTGAAAAGAGAGAGGCTCATTCTGCTTATTTGCAGATTTATACCAACTGCTATGCATAGGAGGATGAAGGAAATTAACAGAGAAATAAAAGCTTCACTTAAAGATTTGATTAACAACAAAGAGAAAGCACTAGAGGTGGGTGAAACTACTGAGAATGACTTGTTATGTTTACTTTTGGAGTCAAATCACAAGGAAATTGAAGAACATGGAAACAGTAAGACTATTGGAATGAGTATTGAAGAGGTAATCGAGGAATGCAAGCTATTCTACTTTGCAGGGCAAGAAACCACTTCAACTTTACTTGTTTGGACCATGGTGATCTTAAGTATGCACCCTGATTGGCAAGCACGTGCAAGGGAGGAAGTTTTACAAGTATTTGGAAAACAAAAACCCGATTTTCTTGTGCTAAGTCACCTTAAGATTGTAAGTGCTGTATCAGACTTTGACTCTTCTAAAGTGAAACTTACCAAATGGTTTGTGTTATTATTATCTTGATGTCAAAGATTATGTCTTTGATACATTAGCATAATACTTTTTTGTTAACAGGTCACAATGATTTTGAATGAAGTTCTTAGGCTGTACTCACCAGTAATTGGCCTTAATAGAAATGTTGACGAAGACGTGAAACTTGGAAACCTATCATTACCTGCAGGAGTGCAAGTTTCCTTACCAACAATTATGGTTCACCATAATCCTGAACTTTGGGGTGATGATGCCGATAATTTCAATCCGGAAAGATTTTCTGAAGGAGTTCTAAAGGCCACTAATGGCAGAGTTTCATTTTTTCCATTTGGATGGGGTCCTAGAGTGTGCATTGGACAAAACTTTTCCATGTTGGAGGCAAAGATGGCTTTGTCAATGATTTTACAACATTTCACATTTGAACTTTCTCCAGCTTATGCTCATGCTCCTGTTTCAGTGCTTACTCTTCAACCCCGATATGGTGCTCATGTCATTTTACGTAAACTGCAAGTATAATAATGGTAATAAGCCTTGTTTGATTTGCATTTCACTATTGCAAAGTTTGAAATGCAAATTAATGGCAGTTTGCTGCTTTTATTTTCTTAAAATATGTTACTGCTGACATGCTTTTATTGCACCATTGAAGAACATATGTATTCAAAATAAGTCAAGTGTTAGAGTCTTGCTCCAGCTTGCAATTGTTTATCATGACAACAGATGTTGCTAATGCTTTTGTATTCTTCTAATATATATATATTGCGACAATGAATGTATGTGGGTTTTTGTAAGACTCAATCCACACAATTCGATAGGGCGAGAGAAATGTCAATTATTTCTTCATGTCATTTTGGGAAGATTATGGATAGATTGATTTAGAAAGTTTCCAATACAATTTGAAATATTCTTCAGTGTTATCCAATATTTTGGACGGTGCATTTTGGATATTAAAAATCTGTGTGCTGTGTTTCAAATTAAATAATCTGAAATTATTTTTTCATTGTTATTTACCATTTGTACAATTTGTAATTTTTTCACAATAATCCTCCATTAGTTTGGATTAAATTTATCATTATATATGATGTAATTTCTAAAAGAATTACCAGACAAACAAATTAGATAAGAATTACAAGATTGGGTAAGTTATTTTTCAGAAATACAATTTCAACTTTTTATTTTTTATCTCATAACAAAACGTATTTAACTGAGCAATAATTTTTTTTTTGAAGAATAATAAAAAACGTATTTCGTTTCATATAATTCTTTTCATTCTTATTTTACCGAACAATAAAATAAATATGTTAAAGAATAATAATAATTCCATATTATTTCATCTACAACACAACAACCATAATTTACTTTTCTATTGTGCATTTATTGAACAACATTAAAAAATTATTTATAGATTGTCTAATAAAAAACACAACACTCAAAATTTTAACTTTTACATTATCTAAACAAAAATTTGTCTGAATCACTCAATATGGAGTTTACTTGATCAAACCCAAAATCTTAACCTATTTATGATTTTTTTTTCTTACATGGTGATGAACTTTTTATTTCTATCAATATGACATGGACTCAAACTTAAATTTCTAACATCACACCCTATGGGAGTATATGAAAAAAAATCATGGAAGTGTGAATAAATTTCTCAATCAAGAAAGTTTGCCATTGATTGGGTTGGGGTTACCTTAATCACAAATTTGAATTTTTTTTGTGCTAAAATTTGTAACTTCACAACATATAATATTTTTAAAGTATAGATTATATTATAAATATTTTAAAAATTTAATATTTCAAAAATATGCATTTAGTTAATGGGAAAATGAAGTAAAAAATTGCGTAATAATTATATTATTATTATTTAATAATTTTTGGAATATGTAACGTACAAAATTAATCACTTAATAAGACTATATCTAACAAAAATGATAGAGGGTATATGTGGAAGAATTAAACTTGTTCTTATTTGAATGGACTCATTGTAAGCATATCATTCAGTTATGGAATCTTATAGGAAATTTAAGTGTGAATGTAAGTTTCATCTTTATTAGAAATAAGAAAATTAATTGGGAAAAAAAATATAAACCTGTTTATTTAAGATTTTAAATTGAAAATGGTATGAGCTTTTATGAAGGTTTTTTCTCAAGTTGAATTGATTTTCTTCAAAAGATGTAGCACTCGTACCAAATTAAAAGTTTATCTAAGTAGTATAATCCTTATATTGAAAACTTCATTATACGGAGATCGAGACAAATGTGTGACAGAATTACAAGCAAGATCCAAAGATAAACGATGTTTTCCACTAATTTGGAACAAGGTACAGAATGCAGATCCACGTAGATAATGCCGAAAGATGCCAAATTAAATGTAGTTGCAGCTTATGTAGATTGGTAAGAAACCGAAAGAGCTGAACTCAAACTTTCTTATCTAACACTTTCAACAACCACAAACACTGTTATATCCTGCGCAGGTTGCGTATATCATGATGATTTATTTCTTAATTTAACCTAATTCTTTGAAAAGGTGTAACAATGCTACCTCAATTGCTTATGCTGCATGAATTCCTCATATTTCTAATTCATAAACCCAACCAAATTTTATCATCTACACCATTTGTTTATTCGAATTCCGCTAGGTACTGTGTACCATTGTTGTCACTTGTCTGCAAAGATTTCTATTCTTCCTTGCATTTACTGTTACACGTCAAGGGACAACCCTCACCATTGACCTACATACGAACCTTTTACCCCTTTCTGGGAAATTTCGTGTTATATATGTTTTTTTGTTAAGTACGTGTTATTAAATTTCTTCTAACTAATAAAAAATGTGTTTCGAATTTAAAAATCGGAAAACGTCCAAATTCAACTATGCTTCTCCCTCACTGGATAATCATAGGATAAGACCGTGACTTCCTTAATCGCCACTCACGTATTTTATAGCATAGTGAAATAAAGCAAGAAAGAGCGACAAAATCTATGATATATGAAAATGTTAAAAAAAATAAGATTAATTTCATGACTCGATTATTGTTATTTTTGTAGGATTCTATATCACGTAGTATTTTCATGTTTGATCACTGTATTCTTCAATTTTCATAATGATGTGTAACGAGAAAATGGCATTGCCTTGTATTTCAATCTTCTGGTGAAAGCGACAGAATATGCAATGAAAAAAGGTAATAAAAAAGTGGCGAATGCGGGCAGAAGACACGTGACCGTCCATTAAAAAAAACAAGAACGTATAGAAGGATCCACGTGTTAAAGTATTAGGCTTTTTGAAGAAGAAAGAGTTCTACGAAACCAACCAATAATAACATGGTAAGGGAGTAAAAAAAAAAAGGAGGTGCCTTTAGCTTTATCTATTGCGGCGGCACACGGCTTGGCTCGCGTTGCAAGCAACGATAAGGTGCGTGGAATCTCTACAGTTCATAGCCCTTTTCCATTCTTCTCTATCTTTGGTCACTAGAAAACCAAACCATTCATTCTCTCTGCTATTTAATGGCGCTAAATTTTAGAATTGTTTTGTTCTAGCTGTCTTTTCTGTTTTAACTTTTGGTGCCACCATGATACTGGTTCGTGATAATCAGAGGAAAGGTGGTGAGAACGCGCTGATGGGTAGTGTTAGTCTGAACCCGTTATTTCGGAGTGAGTCTTTCGGGCATTACTACCCTGACGCCGAGCACAGCTATACTATGATGGAGAAGAGGCAACTGTTCTTGAGAAGCTATCAGTTCTGTCGAAAGAAGAGTCTGAAAGAGAGAGTGAAAGGCTCTTTGGTTCGTGTCAAGAAGATTCTGTGGCTAAGGCTGCGATCTGCTAAGAAACTTAGGAGGTTGGTGTTTTCAAGGATCAGAATCAAATGCGGCTTCTATTACCGCAGGAGAAGGTTTTCACGCCTTCTCAATGCCCACAACCGCAAAATCGACTCTTCCTCTTGTTTCTGGTAGTAGCACCATTATTCATCCACTCATCACAACTGAGAAAAAAACACAAAAAAATGTTTTCATTTCATGATTCATCAGTTACTACGTGTAGTCTTTTATCGTGTACTTACAAAGACATGTTGGAAATTGGGACAAGGAAATAGATATATTGCACATATTGTTTATTCTTTGTTACTGGTCTCAAAACGGTGTTTCTGTCTGTTTTCTTCTGTCATTCATATCTTCTTTCCTTCTTTTTTCCAGCACAATCATAGGTTCTTATGTACTTTATCTGTTAAGTTTGTGGATTCATACTTTCCATTTGAACAGTGAGAACTCAGCAGAAAGTTTTTTATGTGGATGGTTTTCCTTTTCGGTATGTTATCATTATATTCCAGTTGCCAATGGTAAGGAGCTTCTTTCTTGTTATGTTTGATCAAGAATTCTAGACTCACGGGGAACTCTCTGTTTGGTAGTTGCTACTGTCACTGTTATATTAATGAGTTATTGAATATAACAAAAATAAAACGATAAGGTGAAATCGAGGCATTGCAGGCACTCACCTAAAACTATGTTCCAATTCTTTATGGTTCTGTTTACTCACTGTCCATAATTAAAAGGTACATCCGTAAATGAAGCTTTTCGGTCTTCTGCAAATAAATACACAACGACCTGATTTATTACACAACAATTATTTACTCAATGTCAGTAGTTAAAACCTACAACACCAAGTAAAGCTTTTTCGTCACAGGCAAATACATTTTCAACTATCTGATACAATTATAACATCACCAACTTTAGGAGGAAGGAAACTCATCGATAGACCTATTTTTAAATGTATAATCTGATACCTGTAAAAAAATCATTTTAGAAACTAGTTTATCAAATATCTATTTATAATCTTGCAACAAACAAATTTACATGGAAAAAAAAAATCCTAGGCTTGCATGTCAATCAGATTGGCATACTTTATTATTTCAATCTGTTTGCCCTTTCTAAATCCTGACGTATGCATGTCATATGTATCCAAAATTATTGCTAGTATTTTGTTAAAAAGGTTGGTTTTATTGTTTAAACTAATTTTGAGAAATGTCAACGCATTTGCATTGGCAACGGTAACATAGATGTGAAGCAAAGGGAACACATGCAATTTATTTGGGGATTGTAATTGAATCTGATCTGATCCGATGCCGTTTAATAAATATTAAGGGGTAAGATTGTACTGTCAGACACTGGCATGAAACAGCGTGCAAGCAACTACAAATGAAGAAACAAAAACAAATAAACAGTATTACAGACTTGTGAAAACACCCTATAACTGTAATTTTCTTTCTAAGATGATAAAAAAATTAATTATTAAAACAAAATATTGTTGAAGATTCTATGATTATGAGAGATATTTCGTAGTATATAACTTAATGCAATTTTTATATAAAATTAAATTAGATTTAATATTCATATTTTAACAAAGATGTATTAAAATTAATACTCGCATACATATTAAAATTATAAAAACTGTATAAAAGTCATAAAATAAATTTTTCTACTAATTTTGCAATATTATAATTACGTAATAAGAACGTTTGTAACTTTTAAATGTATATCGACGTATAATTATGTAATAAGAGTATTTCTAATTTTTTAAATATATATATTAAGAAAATAAGATATTAGAAATTTTACATTATTATCATTTTTTGTAACAAGTGTAACATCCCAATATCTCACATTGGATAATTCATATTATTACATTTAC